GTTGATGTGAGATAAGGCTGTGAGAAGCAGGGGAATTTTTGTTTTGTTTTGTTTTGTCTTCTTTTTTTTGGTGCTAATTCTGGGGCTTACATTCAAGGCCTAGACACTGACCCTCAGCTTTTTTGCTCAAGGCTAGCACTCTACCACCTGAGCCATAGCTCCACTTTGGGCTTTTTTTGTGTGTGATTAGTTGGAGATAATGGTCTCATTGACTTTACTTCTTGGGATGGCTTCGAACTACAATCCTCTGATCTTAGCCTCTTGAGTAGCTAGGATAATAGGCATGAGCCACCAGCGCCTGGTTCCTGAGAAGCAGTTTTAATGTTAGTCCTTGATATGGTCTAATATGTATGTGTTTATAAATGATCATATTAGAGGGTTTGAGATTCAGTAATAACAATCAGCTTTAGTTTGAACTTTGATGGTCAAAATCTCCCACTGGAAGCTATCTTAAAAAAGAGTTAACATTCTCTTAGAATAGCCAAGGGAGTTCACAGCTACCGGTGAGTGAGTTCTGCTATTTTGTTGTTGTTGTTGTTATTATAGGATGTGTAGGGAGAAAATTGAGCCATTTTTTAGTTATCCAGATGCAAATTTATTTTGAATAATTCTTCATTTAATAATTTGTTTGCATTTAATTAATGCTTCAGAGACTTTCATTTGGGAGCGGGAGATGAATTTTTGTTAATTTTTTCCTGTGGACTAGTATTTGCAATGAGAGCTGATATTGTTACAATTTAAGAAAATACCTTGCTGCATGGGTGAGGTAGTATTTAAATCACTTTAAAAAGTTCATGTCAGTGTTTTGGTTCTTTTGAATTTTTCCTTTCTCTTTTCTTTCTTTTTTTTTTCTTTTTCTCTTACTTGTTTCCTTATTTAGTTTTGCTTTGTTTTGTTTTGTTTTATTTTGTTTTTAAGTTTTAGTTTTTGAAGGGGTGTCCATGGCCTTGCTGCATACTTGGCTGGCCATACTTAGTCTGCGCACTAATTATTAGTTGGCCCAGTTGAGTACTCCTTCTGTCAATTCTTTTAGTATGACTTCCTATTTTGTTCACCTGGCTGTATTTTGAGATGTTAATTCTGATGGGCCGAATTTCAATCCATGTACTAAATTTTAGTCTGCAGACTAAAAGTAATCCGCGGATTATTTATTTTTGCAAAATATTTAATTCTCCCACTGGAAACTATCTTAAAAAAAAAAACGTTACATTCTCTTAGAATAGCCAAGGGAGTTCACAGCTACCGGTGAGTGAGTTCTGCTATTTTTTGTTGGTGTTGTTATTGTTGTTATTCTCAATACCTAGACATAATAGACCCTGCTACCTCCCTTGCGTATTTGGCTCCGTTGTGCCTAGGTGTTGGTGTACATTGCTATTCATGTCACCTGTAACTGTGACTGTCCCTTAGTTGTTTTGTTTACTGTATAAACTTTTGTTTAGCTTTTGGTGGGTGAATTGGGCATATTTGCAGATGGAATTGTGTTGAATTTGTAGTGCTCACAGATAGAAGATATTTTTTCAGTTTTTCCAAAAAAGACAGAATGTTCTATATTAATTTTTCCTAAGTAATGGGTGCAAGGGTATGAGGGGGCAAAGCCCACAATAGAGCAAGTAAGTTTATACCCGCACTCCTAAGATGATATGTCAATTTCCTGAAGAGTCCTAAGATAATGTCAGCAAATAAATATCTTTTAGCAGGGAAGTCAATCCAAAAAGTGGAGAATAATCCGCGGTGGCCTGATCCTTCTTAGCTCACACAAAGTTAAAATGTCTGGCTTAAAGTCAAGTAATATAATCAAATGTATTTAATGCTTTTCTCCCATTGCTAATAATTTTGCAAGAAAAATGTTTATACTGTGCAACTGGGACACATTAGTTGTAAAAAAAATTAGTATATTGGGAACTTACATATTTAAAAGCAGACTAATATGCCCCCTTCCCAGCCATGTCTGTGGATGATGAATCCAGGTCATAGAAGACCACTTTACTTTGGGAACTTTACTTCTAGATTTCATTTTAATTTTAACTTTTTTTGGTTTTGTATTTTTTTAATAAACACACTGGCATTGGAACATAATAAACTAAAACTTGAAATGTTTCTTTACTGTGCCTCACCATTGCACAAATCAAAACATTTTTACATACACTTGTGGTGAAATAATTTTTAAAATTTGGACTTGCTACTGTGGAGACTGATGTTTAAAGTTAATAACTGTATAAACATTTCCTATGTCCCCCCATACACCATGGATTTCTTATAACAGTGGTTATATTTTTCCTTGCCTGACTATTCTCTTTTGGATTGACTTCCCCTGTTTGGATTATTTCACTGCATTATCATCTTTAGGATTCATCAGGAACAGGACATTTCACCTCAGGAGTTCGGGTATGTACTTATATTTTTTTTCCCCAAAATTTCAGGGCAGGTTTATAAAATTCAGGGGAAAACATTTTTGGAAGACTAAACAATTTTTCATTCTTAAAATGTAGTCAAGAAAAGCAGTGGAGGTAACTATAGTTTGTTTTCATTATTGGTGTGGTCTAGTATTTCTTATGATACACTTAGATAAACAGTACCTTAGGTGATCCATTGATGCACAGATTGAAGTTTGGGAATTGAGGCATTTTTTTAAGTCATTACTTTTATAAGAATAAATGTTGATAAAGATTCATGAAAGCAAAAGTCCTAAGTATTAGGCAGCCAAAATTCATTAGTTGATATCCTTTGGGTTTTTTTTGCTTGTTCTTTTTTTTCCCTTTTATTTCTTTTTCTCTCTTTCTCTCTCTCTTTTCTTTTTTAGAAACAGGAAATTCAGAAGAGCTAGTTTTTAGTATGAACTATAATTTTGGAAGTTGCATGCTCTACCACATTCCATATTATGGTCAGATCTCTAAAGGCTGGGAGGTGCTTGGTTTTGATCCCAACTGATTGTCCACAAAGTACTGAACCAAGACATTTCTCATCAAGACTTCTCAAAGGGTTTAAAATAACAATCTATACTTTTTAAAGATTAAATTATGATTTTAATATTCCTTGGAATGAGCAATTTTCTTTATTGCTTTCTAGCTCTGACTCCATGTGTTAGAATTTCCTGACAAAACACGCTTATCTATGTCTTTCTACCAAAATGAATGATCATTTATAGCCAGAAAAATAACAGATAGGTTAGCACTCTTTAAGTTAGAAACAAACTGACAGTGATACTTAATTAATACACTTAACACAAAATCCTCATTAATGTAAACATGGAAAGTTTTACTTAAAATGACTTGCCATCTTGCTACTTTATATTTGAATGTTAGCAGGAAATATTTTTACTTGTGCAAGAGTTAAACATATTAAATAATATACAATAACATTAAGATGTCTTTGACTAAGGCAAATAAACGTACTCAAAGGCATAAAAAGGCAAGGCCTTCTAAACAAAGCCAACACATTAACTAAGACATATCCAACAGATAAGTTCCTAAGATCCTACTCTATGCAGTTTCTCAATTTCCATTGACATAAGCATTTTCAGTAATAAACTGTGTATAAAAGCAAAAAATAAACCCAAAAACTAGTTTTTACTGATTTTGTATAAAGTATTCATGAACAGTCTCCTGGATATCTTACAAACTCTGTAGTTATCTGCTTTCAGCCTGAATGAATAGCCAGAAAAATGTGAGCCGTTCTCATTGGGAAACCACAGCCTCCCAGTGTCCTTTGTTCCCTATCACAGTGTGCATTCCCTTTCATTTATGTGTGCCTGCTCACTTTATGTATGTATCTGCTCACCTTCCTCGCCACACCTTTTATTTACTTGTATATTCTATCAAGATATTTCATTTTTCTGTAGTTTCAAAGGCTTTTTGTCCATATGTTTATATTTATTTCTATTTCTTTTCCTTCTGTTTTAATCCTTTTCAAATGGCTATAATTTAGAACAAGTATATTTCGTCATCATTTTGTGTATTAATTTGTTTTAAAGTACAGTGAGTAGAAGAAAGTTATCTATTCTTTAAACAGGTTAGTTTAAGTACATTTTGCTATGTATAATTTGACTTTTTCTGTAACTTGATGACTCATAATGGCAAATCCATTTTTTTCTTGCTGATTAAAACTCTAGAACATTTATTCAAATACATTCAAATGAAAGTAATCTGTCCACATTTCATGATAATAGCTACTTGAGAAAACAATGTCAGGCAGTTCATCAAAACATAAGTGCTCAAGAATTACTTCAAATAATGATAGGCTTTGATTATGGAAGAGATAATACCAAAGTATTAGCATTTATGGAACTAGTGTAATAGCTATTTATTCCTCTTTTAAAAAAAATGATTGCCAAATTAGAAGAGTGCCATCCATTATCAATAATTATGTAGTTAAAGATAATGCCAAAAATCCTTTATTTGCTGCCACAAGTTGAACTAATTGTGAACATGTGTGTGAACGTGTGTGTGTGTGTGTGTGTGTGTGTATTTGCTTGAGCTTGTGCCAGTCCTGGAGCTTAAACTCAGCCCAGGCACTATTCCTGAGCTTTTTTTGCTCAAGGCTTCCACTTGAAACCACAGCTCATCCTCCAACTTTTTGGTGATTAATTGGAGATAAGAATATCATAGGTTTTCCTGCCTGGGTTGACTTCAAACTTCAATCCTGGTTTCACCCTCCTGCGTAGCTAGGATTACAAGCATGAGCCACTGCTACCCAGCTCAAAATTAATTTTTTAATATTCTACTAGTTGTATTTACCTCCAGAACTTAGCCTTCATATGTACCTTTTATATTTTATATGAAAGTTAGATTGTAGAGCTTATGATTAGCATATGTAGATTTTTCTCTGAGCTTTTCTCATATAGTTCACATTGTTTAGTAAATCACATGTGATTAACCTGTCACTCTAGATGGTTCTTTCTCAAATGTAACCTTGGTTTTATACATGGTGGGAATTCACTCAGTACTGAGAGGGCTATTTGCTTAGGTTCCTATTAAATCTTATTTCCCTTCTTCGTACTCTAGGTCTTCCGGCCCCGAACTCCACCAGAGGCAATTGCACTATGTAGCCGTCTCCTGGAGTATACTCCAACTGCCCGACTAACACCACTAGAAGCTTGTGCACATTCATTTTTTGATGAATTACGGGACCCAAATGTCAAACTACCAAATGGGCGAGACACACCTGCACTCTTCAACTTCACCACCCAAGGTATTTCAGACACTTAACTCTTTTTACTGTTTCTGTGAAGCCTATACCCTTAAGCTCTAGATGAAAACAATGGATATATTAAATACTTTCAGAGGTAGGAAGCACCTCAAGTTTGTTAAGCAAATCTTTTTTTGGTCTTGAACAAAACAGTGACGAGAAAAAATTTAATTAGTCCATTTTCCCTCAGCCTTAGCAGTTATAAACAACTTGTTTAGAGATTTTTAATGAGTTAGGCTTTTTGCAAATAAGACTGATGTACAATGTAACACTTGGGTTTGAATCTGAAGCTTAAAACTGTTAATCATTTCTTATTTCTTACATATTACAGCAATTATAAAACCCAGAAATAAATTAGCAGCTGTATTTGTAGAAACTCAGTGATCTTGTAAAAGCAGAAATTGAACTATAACCCTATAAACACATTCTAAGAACTTGTATAAAAAATATATACAGAGAAATTCCAATTTCTTTTGGAATTTCACACCACTGCTGCAGAAAAATATTGAAAGGAAAACTGAGTTTGTGTATTCATTTGTCATTTCTGAAAAGCCTAGTGATAGTCATTTCTTCTCCATTTTTTTTTTGGTCCGGTCGTGGGGCCTGAACTCTGGGCCTGGGCGCTGTCCCTCAGCTCTTCAGCCAAGGTTAGCACTCTACCACTTGAGCCACAGCGCCACTTCTGGCTTTTTTTTTCTTTTTGCTTATGTGGTGCTGAGGAATTGAATGAACCCAGGGCCTCAGGCATGCAAGGCAAGCGCTCTACCACTGAGCCACTTTCCCAGCCCTTCTTCATTTTTATGTTCACTTTTTCCCCTGATTATGATGCCCCAAATGATCTTTTTTTTCCCCTTAAACTGACCATAAAAAGATAAAATAAGAAAGTGAATAAATTGATTGAGTTTGTAGTAAGGTTTGGACTAGAAAATACTGAATAGATTATATCAAGCTTTCTGTTGACTAAGAAAGAAGTATGTTTCCTTTATTTTAAGGTGAATGTTTTTCCCCCTATATTTAAACTTTGCTAAAATTGAATGTGAGAAGATGCATAATCTCAGCAGTAGATATCTATGGAAGACTTGAGTTAATAGTAAAATAGATGTGTATAGTTTAGTTGATTGTAAACTACATTGTCAATATTATATACCTACTAATAACACTGATGTTGTATTCTCAAATTATATTTTAAAAGGAATATGCAGATATCCTGTGACTATTAATTCTGGCTAATTAAAACTGGAAACCATCTGAATGTTACTTGGAGTCCTGGTTACTCCATTTTAAGAATATTAGTATATAGGGGTAGGATGCACAAAGAAGCAAAATTAAATATAGAGGTTGGAAAAGAGAAGTGAACATAACATACCTTATAAAGAAAAAAATATAACAAGTCAGGTGTTGGTGGCTCATGCCTGTAATCCTAGCTACAGGAGGCTGAGATCAGAGGATCATGGTTCAAAGCCAGCCCAGGCAGCAAAGTCCGTGAAACTCTTTTTTTTTTTTTTTTGAGAGAAAAATTATACACACTTATTTTTTATTGTGAAAATACTGTACAGAGGGGTTACAATTACATGGGCAAGATAATGAGTACATTTCTTATCAAGCATTGTTGCCTCCTCCTTTGTTTCCCCTTTCCTCCCCTTCCCATCCCTTCCCATCCCCCCCCCCCCCCCCCCCCCCCCCCCCCCCCCCCCCCCCCCCCAAAACAACCCCCCCCCCCCCCCCCCCCACCAAAGTTGTAAAGTTCATTTTCCACATAACGACTTATACCTCTCATTGTTGCAATGGGTCCACCTGTATCCCTATTTAAATGATTTGTTTTTTCCCTTCCCCTCCACAAATTATACGAACCTCAAATACAGTGAAAGCAGGGGTTATACCATGGGGGAGGGACATACAAAGCAACAAAGAAATCATCTTATAAATGTGTTAGAAACAATCATCTGAAAGAAAAAAAACATTTGAATACATATCTTAGGGTTCATTTCCCTAATATCAACTTATCTGACCTTTTCTGCTTGACTCAGACATATACTAGTGATTGCAAATAAGGGAAACTGTGGGACCTTTGTTTCTCTGGGCCTGGCTTACTTCACTTATTATAATTTTTCCAAGTCTTTCCATTTCCTAACAAATGGGGCAATGTCATTCTTTCTGATGGAGGCATAGAATTCCATTGTGTATATATACCACATTTTCTTGATCCATTCATCTACTGAGGGGCATCTGGGTTGGTTCCATATCTTAGCTATGGTAAATAATGCTGCAAGAAACATAGTCGTGCTAGTAGCTTTAGTGTGGCCTTGTTTGTGATCATTTGGGTAGATGCCCAAAAGTGAGCTCTATGTGGAGTCTTTTGAGGAACCTCCATACTACTTTCCAAAGTGGTTGAACAAGTTTACACTCCCACCAGCAATGCAGTAAGGCTCCTTTCTGTCCACAGCGTGAAACTCTTATCTCCAATAAACCACCAGAAAACTGGAAGTGGTACCGCAGCTCAAGTGGCACTCAGGCCCAGAGCAAATCCCACGACTAATAATAATAATAATAACAACAACAACAACAGTTCTTTCTACAGATTGAAAAATTGAAAGTAGTAGCATACTGTTTATAAATGGTAAGTATTTGAACTTAGTCACAGGACATATGTTTTGGGTGTAGAGACTGAATAAAATTATTCATGAGTCAGTGATTAAATGTTCAGCTCAAACAGTGGAACAATTTATTTTCAAAATATTAATCTCTATACCCAGATTTTCAAAAGAAAGCTAGATAGGGTCAGATAATGGGTAGATAGTGTTATTCCCACTTGACAAAACATTAAACTGACTGTGGACCTCTGTCAAGCAAAGTTCCTATGATCCCATGCCATAAAGTTTTTGACCACTTGATAAAATAAATTTAAAAATTTTAAATCTTAATGTTTTTGTTTCAATTAAAAGTAATTCACTTTCTAAAAATGAGGGAAACATTGAAAACACAGTACAGAGAAAATTGAAATCACAACTCCCAAATGGTTTCTGTTAGCATTCAAAATAATCTCTCATTATGTAGTATTTTGTAATGTAGTTCTCAAATTTTATTTTCTAACACATATACTGATAATCTTTAAATATAAAATAATCTCCCATTTTTCCATTGAGATCCAAAATAGGTTTGTTAATTTGAATACTCTTTAAGTTCTATATTACATCATTTATATACCAATTTAGGAATTTTGCTTTTTTGACATATCAACTTTCATAGAATAATCATACTCAAATTCTTTAAGTATATCTTACCTGTGTCTTTATAATAAATAGAATTGTGTTTGAACCAGTTTTTAAGGTTGACACCTGAATTTTTTTAATATAAAGCACTCTTTAAAACTATGTAAGGAAAAGTTTATAAGTACCCATGTCCAAATTTTAAATATATGTTATCTGTACAGTATAACTGGACCTTGTTGTTGTTATTATTGTTGTAATTGTTGTTACTTTGTCAAATGACAAAGTTTCACAAGCTGTCATTGGTTAAAGCTTTTTTACACTCTCCTTACCAAAAAGAACTTTGTAGTTCAGGATAAACTAAGGAAGAATACTCAGTGTCATCAGGTGTATGACTTGGTAAAAACTCAGATATTAAATACTATTTATGACAGGTAGATTCTGGAAGGTAATTCTTTTATATTGAGAAATATTTGGTGTACGTTCATCATTGTATATGTGCAGGTGAATCAGAATTGACCTACTCAGGGCTAAGATTGTACCTCACTGATAACCACTTGCCTAGTATGTGTAAGGCTTTTGAGTTTGATCCTCAGTACTAAAAGAGATAGCAGTCATTTTAATTAATCAAGTTTAAAAATCCAGAGTTAAAAAACAGTTTGGTTATATGTGATTGTAATTCAGCTACTTGTGAGGCAGAAGCAGGAAAATCTCAAAGTTTGAGTAAAGTTAATGGGAAATAATGGCTCAGAAACAAAAATGGACAAAAGGGTTGGGGCATGCCCTGGCTTTGATTCCCAGTACTACAAATAAACCCTCCAGAACTAAGTTCAGTCACTAGCTTAAATCTTCCATTGTTGTCAAAGAAAAGAAAACAATCCCATAAATTTTTCTAAGCTTTTCAAAAACACTGAAGTATTTGTGTATTAAGCATGTTTTTGAAAAGCAAACAACTTATTTAGTACATTTACAGTGTTATTCAGCAATCAAAATATTTTCATTGCTTCTGAAGAAAACTTTGTTTCCATTTAGTGGTGACGCCCCAGTTATTCATTTTGGGCCCCAGGCAGCAATATGTTTCTGTCTCCATGGATTTACATATTTTTGTAAAAGCTTTGTATGTAGGACCATCAAATAAATTGATGTTAGAATGATTCTCTAATGCTTTATAAATAATCAAGAAGAATATCATTTCTAGGTAATTAGGCTACCCCCTTCTGGCATTGAAATCCGAGATTAAAGGAAAGATTCTGCAAGACAGCTCAAGAAAATTCAAAATATGCTAAGATGGGGAAAGGAAGATTTAATTTAGAAAACTGTGCTACTAACGACAAAAAAGTGACTATTCGGGGTTTTAGACTAAATTATCAGTTTTATATGAAGATTGTTGTAATTTTTCAGAACTTTAAAAAATCTAGCATCTTGCTAGATATATATTTTTTTAATGCTAATACATGAACTTCACTTAAACCAATTGCCAGGAATTAAATTACCCAGTCTAATCCTGCTGTTGTGGAAACACTGCTAATATTTTACATTTAGACTACAACATTTTTAAAAATTTTTCTGGCTGAGTATGGAATGGTACAGTCAGTATTAGGAAGTTGGACAGGGATTTCCTGGACACCTTGAATTTGTTAGGAAAGAAGATAAGCTGTCAACTAAAAAATATCTACAAATAACATTAGATCGCAGCAGAAAATCAAGGAACACTTTTGTAGCTTTAAATTAGTGTACACCATTGAACAAGTCGCTCCACTGTTAGGTCATTTAAGTTTTTTTATGTAAAGAAAAATA